AGAGCTCTGGAGAATCAAGGTACTCATTCTGTTTTGAGGCAAAATGGTAATGTCGAGGAGAATACTCATATAGGGAATGGTGAGCATACAAGCGATAAAGCAGAAGGTGCATAATCGGATTACAATTCAATATTGTCAGAGTTTGATCACTTTGCTGCTAAAGGATCGAGTGAAGCTGTTGGATTTGGATATGAAATTGGGGATATGGTGTGAGGTAAGGTGAAATCGCATCCATGGTGGCCTGGTCACATTTACGACGAGGCATTGGCTTCTCATTCTGTTCAGAGAAGCAAGCGTGAGGGCCATGTGTTGGTAGCGTTTTATGGTGACAGTAGCTACGGGTGGTTTGACCCCGCAGAGTTGGTTCCTTTTGAAGAGAACTTTGCAGAGAAGTATCGACAAACTTCTTCTCGAGCTTTTATGAAGGCAGTGGAAGAGGTTGTGGACGATTTGTCAAGAAGAAGGGGTTTGGGTTTGGCCTGCTGCTGTAGAAATGAGTTCAACTTCGGGCCTTCAATCAAGGAGGGCTACTTTGTTGTAGATGTAGGGGATTATGAACCTGGTGTTTTCTTCTCGTCAGATAAACAAGGCAAGAGATGATTTTCGGCCAAAAACAATGCTTTCTTATGTTCGGCAGTTGGCCTTGACACCTATGACTGATCAACATAGGGCGATTGATTTTATAAAGAACAAGGCCACAGTTTTGGCATGCAGGAAGGCACTTTTTGAGGAGTTTGATGAAACATATGCACAAGCCTTTGGAAGTGTACCAGTGCGCCCTCTCCGGCCCACCGAACCAATAGACGTGGATCCATCTAAAGGTACCTTTTTATGACTTTGGATTACATTTGAGGACGATTCCTCTTATTGTTTTGGTTTTATGCAGTGTGAAGTATCTGTGCCTGTAAACCTTTGTGTGTTACTATTCCATGGAACTAAGCCTTCATATTTATTAAGTACCTTGGTGGATGACATGTAATCATACTAGATTATATATATATATATATATATATATATATAAATATCGTGAAAGGGACATATGAACATTGGCTGGTTATGTAAGTATACTAAAGCATGTTAGACACTAATATTTCACTTTTATGTTTTGAGGGTCACATGATTCAAGAAAGTGGTTAACAAAAACTTTGTATGAGTATTGTGGATATGAAGCTGCTAATGGGATCTAGAATCTTTACGTTCAATGGCTTATAAATGTTATATAGAAAGCCATACTGCTACAGATTCATAGCTGGAAGTAGATATAGTTTCATGCATCTTTATCACTTGTACTTTCTCCCATGTATATTACCACTATTTGAATGATCACTTCCTTTGTATAATATAAGAACAACGAAAAGTATTGACCATAGTCTTCATGCTAGTGTTTTTGGCTATTTTCTGCTTTCCATTTTTATGGTGAGATTTGTTGGGTTCGCTATACCGCACGGGGTCAAACGCAGCGGAAATAAGAACAAAATAAACAAGCACTTATCGAATAAATACTAAACCCGTCGGCTCACGTAGCGATTGTATTGATTAGCATCTTTTAAAATCACGTAATAGTACAAATTTTGATTTGTATGTAATTTCAAAAATTACCTTTAATTTTATTTAAATAGCGACGATGATGAGGGAATCAGTTCCCGGGTATGTGGCTATCACCGTCTTCTCGTCTCGCCGTAGGGATCCACGTGTCTCCCCTCTAAGCAAGTCCACCCTTTGGATTCCAACACCAAGATAACCTTCTTCGCTAGTAGAATTTATCCCGTAAATTAATTGGTATGAAGAATCAATTTAAGAGAGGAGAGATTTCTTTTATTTTCTGAATTGCCGAGACTTGAGAGACACTAATTCTCTATTTTTCTCACGTTTTTTTTTAATCTCCTTTAATAATGGGAGTGTTTCACTATTTATTAAACTCATCTAATGAGTTATAGATAAATATATGTGAACATGGTGGGGCGGCTAGACCTAGCCGTCCCCACTAACCTTTTTTTTTTTAATCATTTAATCTTTAATCTAATTAAAGATTAAAGATAATGACCATAATTTATGAAACTAACTTTCATACTAATTGGTCAAAATCTTATCTCCCAATATATCCTCTCTTATGTGGGCTTTAAATCAATTAATCATATTAATGATTGGATTTGAAATTTAAAGTCCAACTATCAATTTAGCAATTCCAATAATTACTTAATTAATATTCAAAGCCCAATTAATCAATCCAATTGATTAATCATACTATTCTTTTAATTGACATCTAATCAAATTAGATTTAATTAAATAATCAAATTATTTAATTAAGTCTTGCCAATTAATCCAACTATTGGAAATACCAATTTTAAAATGTCATCATCCAAAACATGGTGTGACCCTTTTAGGTTCACGATTAACACTAGTAGTGGGTTTACTACTCGTTTGTAATTTAAATTAATCTAACTAATTTATATTCTTGAAATTAACTCCTTAATTTCAAGAACCCACAAATCATGGTAACACCTAGCAAGTAGCATGATTA